TTTGCTCGTCCTGCCTACAACCGGTGCACAATGCGCAATAGTGAGTGCTATCCACGAGAAAGTAAGCGACCCTCCGGCAACTCTTGAAGAGGTGGTGCAATACACCAAACAGGCGGTGGGTAATATCTGGAGGCACGCAGCTCAGAACCGAAGGGCTTAGCATAGCTGCGTTTGGCATGTGGAACGTTCTTGTAACATCCCTAACGTACTGTTAGCCCGAGCACCTTTGGTATTCTTAGTAGATGTAAAATAATCTAGAGTTAAGTTATATATGATTTCAGTGGATTTCTGAAATATTACCATTTAAATATTTATCAATTGAGTGTTTTTTGCAGATTGCCTCAGATAATCGTAGTATTTTCTGTCTTATCGTTTTTTATAATTTTTGATTATAATGGCAAATCAGAAAAAAAGAACAAAAAAAGCATGCAATATGGGGATAAAAATTGCAATGTCGCCCACTAGAATTTGGCTGACTTCACCTTCAGAAACCATGTTGGACCAGCAGCAACAACAGCACATCAATGAAAAGGAGCCATGTAGCATTATCAACAAAAATTACTGAGTATCTTGCCACTGCGAGCATCCGCAGCAACTTTCGCCTGCTTCCTGACGTAGACATCAGGGATTGGCCGCGCCATACCCCTAAGTAACGCTACCGTGCTTGTTCCATGCTCTTTCCGTTCAAAATCGATCATTTGTCGCCAAAATGCTATATTAGGCGAAATGAACGGCCTTTTCTCCAGCACGTCGTAGTACGCCTCCCTCAAGCTTCGTCCCTCATTCAGTACTAAGCATATTATGCATAATGCAGCCGAACGGCTTATTCCAGCTGCACAGTGGATCAGCACTTTTCCACCCTGAAAATCAGCACTTTCAGTGTGATGTACACAAATTTATGATTTCATTGTCCGCCTACGTACAAATTAAAGATTTCAAATTCAGCGTCTAATTATGCGTTGTTCTCGCGTACGGGCAATTAAATTTTTGTCGGGAAAATCGCTAACACGAGAGCCAGAAAAGATGAAATTTTAGGAGAATATTCCCTATCCAAACAAAACTTAAAGATTTTAAATTCAGTCCTCCGGGTATTTGTGGTTCTCGCGTACGGGCACTTAAATTTTTGGCGAGAAAATTACTCATTGAACAGCCAGGTCATTTTCAAAGAACGACCGCTAAATATAAATTGCTCATTTTCCTTCATGCAGAATTTACGATGATTTACGGCAGTGAACGCACAAGGTAGGTGTGAAGCAACAACTATTCATGCAGTTAACGACCTAACTACTTCAAGTTTGGTGCAAAAACGCATCACCGCACCGCAAGCTTGATGCTTTCTAACCTGGATTTCATTATGTGTTTTTGCGGATATGCAAATACAAAAGTGCGTACTGTGACGAGCTATAGTGTATGATCCGGGTATTTCAACTCGGCAACCAAACAAGCTTTGATGCCAAAATTTTGCCAACGGGTTCCTTGGTCAAGTGTCACTCCAGAAATGCGGCACCAACTTTCGGGCAGATTTGAACCCTGCATACGAGTGTAAAATTTTTGGCGGGAAAACAAGAAAAGTTGGGAATCCGAAATTCAGAGGGGATGTTCCCTGTCCACATACAACTTGAAGTTTTCAAATTCAGCCCGTTGGTACGTGTGTTCTTCATGCATAGGCACGTGAAAATTGATAGCCCAGGAATCAGGACAAATAGATAGTTTTCAGTAATTGACCGGTCAACAAAAATTATTCATTTCGTTTTATGAAAAATTTACGACGATTTATGGCAGGGGGTGCATAAATTACAATTAACGTCCCGATTCCATTCCTACAGTCAACATCCTGGTTATCTCAAGTTTAAGCAAAAACGCATGATCGCAGTAGCAATCCTGCTGCGCTGCAGCCTGGGCCTGGGTCTTGACCGTAGCTCCACAACGAAGAAAATCTTTTAAATTCATTAGTATCGATCAATATACCTACTATTCCCTATTACAGTGTTACTCTAAGATGGCTTGAATTGCCAGGCTAAAACATAGACGTCACTTTTACATTTTCTAAGATGCTGCCTGTTCAATTATTTCTGGCT